ATTTCTTTTGGTCCATTCTTCATGAAATTTACACACAATGTAAAGAACAACAGGCTTTTTCAAATTACGCCAAAAACTGAAAAACAAAAATGGAGATACAAGGTTTTTTATTCGACAGCAGCGATTTGTTACTGTCATATCAAAACCTTCCATCAAGCCCTTGTTTGTGTGTGCGTGATCACTAGAAATGGTCCAAAATTACTCTGGATATTTTCTCGTTTTCTTACGAAAGTTTCTCCTCTAAAGTTGCCATTTCAGAGATACAAGGTTTTGTTAAGATAGCAACAATTTGCTAGCGTTGAACACATTTTTATCCAGTAATGCAGGCGCTGTAGTAGACGGCACTGCTGGCGTCGGACAGGGCCGATATGAGTGTATTGCTCTCCTCACATGCATTCCTGCTCACTCTAGTCCTGCTGGTGGTCAGATACTGCTCGAACTCATGGCGGTCCACCTCATTCCAGAAGTCCGCTGAGTGCCCGAGCTGGTCGCTAGCGTCCAGGGAAGGTGGAGGGACCTGGGGAACGGATGGTGCAGGAGCTGGGTTGGAAGATTCTGGAGGAGGAGACAGTTGCCCCAGTTGGGAGGTGAAGGCTGGTGGTTGCTGACTGGTTCCATACATCTGAGCATAGTAGCCAGTTTGAATGGGGGCACTAGGAGGTTGCTGGGCTTTGGTTGGGTCTGGTAGACCCATACTTGTCTGGGGAGGGTACAGACTTGGAGGGTTCGTAGGCTCGGGGCCCATGCACTTTTCCTGGATGGGCCGGCAGGCCAGAGGGGACTTGTGGTTGAGGTGTGGGTGGGCATGCTGGAGGGTATGAGGGTTGGAGGGGTGGTGGTGGTGGCTGGAGTGACTGTGGTGGCCTCCATGGTGGTTGTGGTTGTGGTTTTGGTGCTGATGTTGGTGGTAGTTGACCCATGGTCCCAGGCCAACATCTTCTTGCATATGAGGGGGGAAGAAGACGGAGTCGCCTCCACCCTCTTCCAGCACGTCCAGTGGAGACATCTCTGGAGTGGGCAGGCCGTAGATCTCCAGCTCTGAGGCTCCAGAGGGTTGGAGGTCCCGGAAGTGTCCCAAAGAAGGCAGCAGGTGATGTGCGTGAGGATGCTGAGGGTAGGCCTCTCCGCTTCCAGCTCCTCCGGCCACGCCTTGCGCCAGGCCGTGCAGGAGCAGGCCTGGCTCCACCCGCTTCATCTTCTTGGGCTGCTTCTTGCGGCGGGGGCGGTATTTGTAGTTAGGGTGATCCTGCAGGTGCTGCAGCCGGAGCCTCTCCGCTTCCTCTACAAATGGACGCTTGTCCAGTGTGCTCAGGGACTTCCAGGACTGACCTATAAATACACACAACGTTAGCATGTTTGAGTTCATCCTTTACCTGACATTTGAGCTGTGTTACTAACACGGACACATTTACTGCTTACTGTAATACCACTGGAACAATTTATGACACTTCAATTATTATAACTAAAAATATCCTTGGATAAAAGCTCTTAAATAACAAGGGTGCATATTTGGGCCCAGATTTCAATTCCACAATCTCATAACTACAGTCATGTGCGAAGGTTTGGGCATCCCTGGTCAAACTGCATGTTTTGTTGATTTTCTAAGCATAAAAATGCACATTCTCTACAGGAAACACACTTTTGCACATGTTAAATGCACAATTACATATTTGAAAATAATTAAAATGTAAAGTGTGGAAGCTGCAAAAGTTATGGCACATATAATATTTTATGTTTATTTTTTCCAAATAACTTAAACTCAGCAAATAAATAGAAATTGTGCACTAAAATATTCAGAAAAATACCACATTTAAGTTACTTTTTGCTAGAAAATCAACAAAACATCTTTGCATATGACTGTATAGAACATGCATAATAGCTTCATAGACTTTACTAAGTTTTAAGACTTTTAACTAAGTGATAAACCTAAACATGAAAACTGGCTAAAACAAAGTAAAATGTAGATTTTTTACACTATATTTCACTCTTTGTTTAAAATAAACTGAAGTTCAAGTATCAGAAAAAGACAATGCATTATTAAGGCCTCTGCCAACGCTGAGCATTAGTGATATTAGCACTTGCTCAGTATGGCTGATGTTTGTGCTCAGTGGTTGTAGTTGTAAAATTATTAATGGGTCAGTGGTTACAGACAATCGGCAGCTTGTGGGCTCAAGACTGTCTGCTTCGACCTGGCCTTTCACTGCCAGGAGATTTGCCATGTTTTGCAAAACAAGGACATCAGTTCGGTTCCTCGAGGGCCAGCAATATAAAAATATTGCGCAACCCGCACAGGCATTTCACATTATCACATTTGTTTGTGGCTGGTTTCTCTTTTTCCCTTAAATTCTGAGGGCTTTAGTGGAATGTTCGGACATATTTCCAAGACCTCAATCATCTGTGATTATCCACATATCTAAATGCATGAGGAAAGACTTTCATGTGGTTGTGATATGTCTCAAAATCATGAGCCTGAAGAACTTTAACCACACTAATAAACTAATAACAACATCACTCAGATAATAAAATGAAATTGCTTATAATGATAACACATAAAACTCTCTATGAGTTGTGAGAAATAATTAGTTTATTAGTTGAATGATCAGATGAGCATAACTGATTCAAGCTCAAAACAATAATTCCTTTTGTGGAAGTAGGCAAGCATGGAAGAACGTGTTACAGGAATTAGACACGAATATGTATTCAATACTGTATTTACTGAACTTTTGATAATGATTGATTACTGTTTAGAAAGTTTCTCATGTTAGATGTTAGAGAGCACGGATATAAGCTATTTAATTAAATATGACCGAAAGGACCAAAAGGATGCTGTTTTAAAAGAACGTAAACTGCATGATATCTTAATTAGGACATGCAACATGTAGAAGTACAAAGATAACAGACAGATAAACAGACAGACAGACAGATAGTTAGATAGAAAGACAGCAACACAAACTGTGCAAAAGCACAGTTATATATTAATTAATATATTAGCAAAGGTAATGAAATCTGCAGAATGTATAAGACATGAAAAATTTACAAAACAAATGTCAATCTAGTGCAAGAGGCATTATTAAATGGTAATAAAGCAGTAATACTGCTTAATATTTTTATGAAGCGGTAATATTAGATATTAGACACTGTGTAGTGTTAACTGTGTAATCTCTGAATGTTCTATGTAAATATACATATAAATCTATATGTTACAATGCAGTTATTACAATGTAATTATTTGAACTACGACTCACAAAAAGTGCAATATATTGATATTGAAAAGTTTACTTAACCCCTTAAACTGTATGGGCCTGCATGTGAGCCCACACTTCAATTCCTCACTTCCATAACTATATATTATGACATTGTTTCATAGATGTCTACCAAATGATTCATACTGGTTAAGTCTTAAGATTAATAACCGAATGATCAAAGTTCAAGGGGTTTAAAAAACAATGCAGTGTGATTTAAATAGGACAAAAAGTCTTACCCAGCATTTTGCTCAGTACAGCATTATGCAGGTCCGGGTTCTGCAGTGCCAGCCGCTTGCGCTCGTCTTTAGCCCACACCATGAATGCGTTCATGGGCCTGCGGATCCGCGCCTCGCCCCCACACTTCCCATCGGCGGCCGTCCCGGGACGGGTCGAGTCCGGGCTGCCCGTCCTCCTTTCCGCCGCCACTGCGGCACCTCCAGAGTGGGACCCCAGCTCCGTGGTCAGACCGTGGTCAAATCCGTGGCTCCGGTCAGGGCCCGCTGGGCTTGAGGAAGGGCCCCATGCTCCGCGCTCCACGACCTGGCTGGGCTGAGTGGTGGCCTCTTGACAGTAACTAGACTCAGATATATTCATTCCAGCAAAGACGACCCGAGTGACGGCACACGGCTTGGTTAAGTCGAGCAAATGAAAGTGCCTGTTGCTTTTTTTCTTTCTCTTTTATGTCGTACTTGCTACAGTTTCGTGTCCCACACAGAAATGACACGAGCTGCCAAAATTACAGAGCAAACAAAAAGATACACAGACAGCAAGAAAAGTGATATGTAGAGAAAAAATGGCAAGAAAACCTACAAAAATGAGAAGAATCAAAGCTGTCTGAGAAGAGTAGAATCCCACAGATGGATGCCAGCGTGCTCTCCAGCTCCTGCTGTTCAGGACTGCTGCCTGTTTCTGGTACTAAAGTTTGAAAGTTGTGGTGAGCTTTGATAGACCCATGTTGTAGATATATAAGTGGCCCGAGCCAATCAGAGCGCAGGCTGAGACGGGACGGGCGGGATGGGCAGCCAGTTGGATTTCTGCCCCCTCCTCTGCAGCCTCCACAGACAGAGAGATGTAATCTGAGAGGGCCATTGTTTTAGTCTAGTACAGAATACGCACACACACACACACACACACACACACACACGCTCTAAATCTATCTCACGCGTGCACGCACACACAAACCCACTCACACGGACCCCCTCCTGTGGTCTTGGGGGAAGGCGGGGGGTGACCACAGAGAAAGTTGTGCTCATTAGTGTTATCTTTAATGAGGAAAGCAAATGTTGACAGGCCTCTTCGTTCTCTTCACACCTTATATATTAGCATCACAATAACATAATAATTAAAGCTCAAAAGGTTTTTTATTATTACCAGCTGAAAATGCAATAATTTATATTAATGACTAAATAATAAGTCTTAAGATTAATAGCTAAATAATAAGCCTGCTGTTGGAGAGGTTAATATTAGTCTGTCCAGTTCAAGAAAACTCATGTCCCAGTGTACAGTCTGATCCTACCCAAAGACAAGCTTATATTTTCAGAAATGTACCACTTTTTCTTTACTATTATTAGTATTATTATTATTACTATTATTAAACACAATTCAAAGTCCAGCCAAAGCAGCCAACAATAAAAAATTACATTTACATTTTCTACATATGAATGAATACAGTTACAATACATTTTCTTTTTGCAAATTTTGATGTTATAATTATTTGAGAAAAATATATCCATTTTTTCCTAATTACTGTTTAATATAATATATATATAAAATACAAAAGTCCTATGCAAAGGTTTGGGCAAACCCCTGGTTGAACTATATGTTTTGCTGATTTTCTAAGTAAAAACAAGTAAACACATCCTCTACAGAGAACACATTACTGCACATCTTAATGCACATTTGCTGTTTGTTTACTTAATTCAACATATTGGGAAAAAAATAAAGCATAAAATGTGGACTGTGCAAAAGTTATACCACAATTTATAACTTTATTTTTCCCAAAAATGCAAAACTCAGCAAATAACTAGAAACTATGCACTAAAATGAGCAGAAAGTGTGTTCTCTGTGAGAATGTTATCTTATTTTCACTTGGGATATCAACATAAGTTATTTGACCAAAGATGTTAAAACATTTGCATAGGACTGCAAATTTATATATAGAATATAAAAGTTTTTATATAAAACCTATGAAAAAAAAAACTTTTATCTACATCTATGTTAGTCTTGCCAGGCCAGATGTGATCCCGTTATAAGAATACATGTATGGGAATAACCTGTAAAACCTTTGGCGCTGCATTGCGGCAAAAATTGCCTCAAACAAGGGTTACACCCCCCCTCCCCATCGAAAAAATACCAAAATTAATTTCGTTTAACATCTGAAGTACAATCAGTGACAAAAAATATTCGAGCCCTGCAGTGTGTGAAATACCCCCTGATATTCGGGAGGTCATATGTTTATTAGCTGCTAACTCACTCAGCATTGCAGCACTGATGCTGGATTCAATAGCAACAAAACGAGTCTTTGTGGTGAAAAATAGGCAACAACTCACCTTTTACACCAGTTTTTTGGGGGAAAAAGGGCAATATATTTATAAATATGCTGCAGCATACTGTAAATTTTTATAGAGGCATAGTTACAGTTGCTCGGCTATGAAAATAGATAGACTGACAGAGGGGAAGTCTTCTATTGCAGCAGTACAAAGTACAGTAAAGAGCAAAACAAGATAAATAAAATAAACAGGAGCAAAATATTGCTGTACGTATTTACAGAGGGATAAGTAGAAAGTAAAGTAAATGTTTGAGCTTGTTTGAAGGCTCTAATTTGAGCTCCATCTTCATGAGGTTTTAAACTGATTAGACATTTAGACATACTCAGTTTGTTCCCAGCTTGTAAGTCTACATTCCCACCAACATTTAGCCCAGAATTTCTCATGGTTTTCCCTTGACAGCTCTTGTTACAAGATCACACCTGGCCCTGTGATAATTCATATATATATATATATATATATATATATATATATATATATATATATATATATATATATATATATATATATATATATATATATATATATACACCGATCAGGCATAACATTCTGACCACCTCCTTGTTTCTATGCTCATTGTCCATTTTATCAGCTCCACTTACTATATAGGTGCACTTTGTAGTTCTACAGTTACAGACTGTAGTCCATCTGTTTCTCTGCATACTTTGTTAGCCCCCATTTACCCTGTTCTTCAGTGGTCAGGACCCCCATGGACCCTCACAGAGCAGGTACTATTTGGGTGGTGGATCATTCTCAGCACTGCAGTAACACTGACATGATGGTAGTGTGTTAGTGTGTGTTGTGCTGGTCTGAGTGGATCAGACACAGCAGTGCTGCTGGAGTTTTTAAAACACTGTATCCACTCACTGTCCACTCTATTAGGCACTCCTACCTTGTCAGTCCACCTTGTAGATGTAAAGTCAGAGGCGATAGCTCATCTGCTGCTGCACAGTTTGTGTTGTTCATCCTCTAGTCCTTCATCAGTGGTCACAGGACGCTGCCCACAGGACACTGTTGGCTGGATACTTTTGGTTGGTGGACTATTCTCAGTCCAGCAGTGACACTGAGGTGTTTAAAAACTCCTGCAGCACTGCTGTGTCTGATCCACTCAGACCAGCACAACACACACTAACACACCACCACCACATCAGTGTTACTGCAGTGCTGAGAATGATCCACCACCCAAATAGTACCTGCTCTGTGAGGGTCCATGGGGGTCCTGACCACTGAAGAACAGGGTAAATGGGGGCTAACAAAGTATGCAGAGAAACAGATGGACTACAGTCTGTAACTGTAGAACTACAAAGTGCACCTATATAGTAAGTGGAGCTGATAAAATGGACAATGAGCGTAGAAACAAGGTGGTCATAATGTTATGCCGGATCGGTGTATCTCCTTTTTTTCTGCTCCCGTTTGCTTTACACAGATACAAGAATGAGGCATTAGTGTACATTTACACATTGTCTTTACACATTTACTAACAATAAGTACATGTTTGGCACTATCAGTGTGACTGGAGGATTTATTGCACACATTGGGTAATTAGATTAGATTTTCAGAGCTAATTGTTATTGTGGCTGTGTGACACTATGGCCTCGTAGGTGATGACAGGAGCATTCATTATGTGCCTGTTAGTGGATACTTCCACACAGGAGAAGACAGTAATTAAGTCTGCATGCTTCTAATGAGCTTCTCAGTAGAGGGTCGCACTGATAATTGAATGTAAGTGTGTTGGAAGACTATTTAAAGACGTATAATGTGCCCTACTGTTGCAGATGGAGAGAGTTTTGGGACAGTTTTCTGTCACTTTAGTATTAAAAAGCTGCCAAGCTCCAGATAGAGGCTAGAGAGGACGTTGTAGAGTGAATGAGATTGAGATGGGAAGTCATAAGCTGCCTCTTACTTTAATGGAGGCCACACCATTACAATCAGCCTGTTAACATTTAACCTGGCACAGGCCAGGAGGATGTGGAAGCTTAAAAACCATCAGTCCAAAAGCCTCGAATGAGAAAGAGGTGAGCACAACCCCAAACATAACTGCAGACATACACTACACTGTAAAAAATGATATCTTGTCAAGTGAAATGATCTTAAATGGAGTAAGTATATCTGATATTTCTAACTTTGAGATGGTTGAAGGAATATTATGAGATTATTTCATTTCTTTCCAGATGTTTTTTACTTTTACTTTTGTCAAGTACAATTATCTCACTATATTAGCAGATAATCGCATGTTTCAAGCATATTTCTGAAAATTAGCAAAATGATCTGCCAATATAGTGAGATGATTTTACTTGATAAAGTGATTAAAACGCCATATTTTTACAACCGTGAGGCGCCTAGGAACCAATCACATACTAATTGAAAGAGGGGGTCATAGAGTTTCTGACTGTCATCAGAAGATGGCTCCCTTCAGTCTGAGAGGAGATGAGACCCCTGAGCAGAAAGCGTTCTGCGTTCTCCACTTCAATAAGAGTGAATCCGTCATAACTGTGCAGTGTGATTTCCGTCGGCAGTGAACCTCCAACAGCTCAGAGCGTTCGTCGTTGGTTCCACAACACTGGATGATCTCCGAAATCGCACAGAAAGAGTCGTGAGTGCAGCGACACCCAACATGCTCAATGGAGTATGGGATGAATTTGACTATGGCGTTGATGTTGTCTGTACAGCTGGAGGAGGTTCATACTGAGACCTTGTACAATTACATAATAAACTTTATGCTCATTTAAACCATTTACAGTTTACTGCATTGTTCTGTAATGATTTAGAAGTGAAATAAATCATATTGAAATCAGACAAATCTTTTTGAATCACCCTGTATTAATTTAAAAGTCTGAAGTGTCGGGTCAGATTTTGTCTGAGTTTTTCGGACCATGTTCTTAGAAGAAGGTCCGGCTCAATGTTTAGGTCTCAAATCAAAAATCAACATTATACCGATGAAGATATGATGACAACAGTAAAATCATTTATTTACTCAGAAGGCATGTCGTTCACTAAGTCTTCTCTTTGAATACTCATTCAACGCACTCACAATCATCAGATTCATCCGCTCAGGGAAGCACAACCGACATTACACAGCTTTCTTCTGGATGTTGCGTGCAATTACACATTTCCACCAGAGGGGTCAGAGAGGCATAGTGTAGCTTTAATATTTCTTTATTTATGGCCAACATTTAAAACCACCTTTCTCTTTTGGCCAAAAAGTGAAAGTGCCATTTTGACTATATTCAGTGTATTATTTGTCACTGAATAACGTCTATTTAATATATTAAATCCTTAAAAACTGATAAAGAAAACTGAAAATGCTCATTTCCTACAACTTTCACACAGCACTGCATGTACATGCGTGGAAGGTTCTCAAGGATTTGATTCCAAGTGAAAGCTGAACATAGTACAAGCGCTCCATCTGCCTCCATGTGGAAACCACAAATTAAGGCTTTGGTTCGACGTCTCCACACCTATGCAATTCATCCAGGCCCAGACTGCTGAGTGCAGCCAATGTTTCCCCCAGCTGAGCATTATATCAGCACTTCTCTGCTCTACGAGTACATCCAGAGTGAGGCGTCAAGCCTGTGATCCTGCTGGACTGTTCGGGGAGGGAGAGAATAACTGGGTGTTACATGGTATGTTATCTTTCCTCAGTAAAGACGAGTAAAAAACAAAAAGGTTTCTTGTTTCTCATTTTTTATGTCTTTCAGCTTTCTGAATTATTACCTTGAAGGCATTCCTGTGGTTAGATGTGGGCAGAG